TTCAACACCCTTAAAATAATGGGCGCGTACTAAAATAAGTAAACAATCAATATCAATACCTACATTATCTATTTTTGAAAATGTAATCTGTAAGTGAGTAAAAAGACGTACCTGACCCTACAACCCCAGAAAGAACGTTATGACGCCGAAAAATTTGGAGAGCTAACACAATCTAAAGTGGGAAGGTGCAAGGAAGAAGAAGAAGTAATGTCTGTGTGGTTTCATTAATTGTGCAATAAACAATCAAACAGTTAGCGATGTTTTTTGATGTTTGGTTGGTATGATGGAAGATAAACGTCCTGATCATATTTTATGATTAGGGAGAACCTTTATAAGCAGTGGAGGGCCTGTCTGTCTACCTACCTGCCGGAACACCAGGAGCACGGCAAAACTTTAAAGGTGCGTACGGACTAGAGGCAGCCTCGCCTGAGGCACGCACGGCTCGCCGTTTTGCCTCAAGTGCGTACGTGCCTCAGCCCGAGGCACGCCTCGCGTGAGGCTGCCTCGGCGCGAGCCATTCGGTGTCGGTTTTTTGGCTGTGCTCAAAGGCGCCTCGGCGTTCGTGCCTCGCAAGTATGGACGTGATTTGAGCGCGGTTTTAGCGCACAATGGCGAAAAGTACGAAATTTTGTCACCTTTTTTTGTATAAGTGCTACCAGACAAAATAAATGTTCAAAGTCTGCACTTGACATGCGTGTGAAGTTGACCTTGTCGTATGGTTTACATTCAAAAGTAATTTCACAGAGTAACGTTTCACCATAATTATCTGTTTTTGAATAGAAATTTCATCCACCACCATGTGGTGATTTTTTTTTCTTTTTAATTAAATTATATATTACAATTAACGCAGCAGCAGCACGGGTTGCGTTCGACGCCATGGTATGTAGTGCGTGAATAGGAGTAAAATGGCGAAAGACGCCAAAGCAGAAATAAAGAGTGAATCAGATGTGGACCCGGCGCCATCTTGTCGAGCCTGGCTCGACTCGAGGCAGGTTGCCTCAGTCTGCTGCCTCATGTTGTTTTAATTTTTTGCCGAGGCAGCCTCTTGACGAGCCGTGCGTGGCGAGGCTGCTCAACCTGAGGCTGCCTCTAGTCCGTACGCACCTTATGAGATACGAAAACGTCTATATTATTGAAAAAGTTTTTTTGCATGATATGCCGCTTCTTTTGGCGAAACGAAGTTCGTGGGCACCAGCTAGTTATAATATAATAACACAAATATCTTAAAACATTTCGTGACAATATTTTAAACATTATTTTGAAATGATGTGCTAAAAGTAAGTATAACAGTGTCGATTCAGTAAAAGCGATATCCAACTTATCTTCACAGCTTCTTTTAATAAGGTATTTAAACAGGATTTAATAGGATATAATTTAAGTTTAAAAGGATTAATATCAAATCTTTATACACGAAGTTTTTTGATACGGTGTCATATTGAAATTTGTTTTCAATGCCACATTTTACGCCTGAGAGTGACGTGAATGCCATTTAATCTGAATAGCCACCTACAATTTTCCTTTCAACAACACACCCAGTCACCAATTTAAGGTATCTCTCTATACTGGTTTTTCTACATAGTTAGAAGAAATAACCAGTGTCAATTGATCTCTTGAATTTATAACTGGAGGTGCTGCTAATAATACACTGCCCAAATTAAATTGAGTATCAATCTTCGTCAAACCCCACGTCAGGGTTATTTGACATCGTTTTGTCGTTGGATAGTTAGGGATGAATAGGCATATTTTTAAAAGGTAGGGTGGACGTGGCAGGCCCAAACCAGTTTTTACAATGCCGAACCAAAATTTATCGTAACATTTTAGGTCTTTTTGATGCCCATAATGTTAATGGATATCAATACATCAACACACATAAAAAAATAGAACGAACATAAAATAATATTCACGAAAGTGTACGGGTTCTTATAGACAACTCTCATAATTCTGATAGGGTGCTTTCAGACCATGAAACTGAGCAGATTCCCGTAAAACAATATTTCAAAAAAAGTCTACTTCGCATACAAAATTACGATCAGCTGACTGTAAAACAATATTTCAAAAACAGTCTACTTCGCAAACAAAACTACGATCAGCTGACTGCATTGACGTTTCCAGATTTTTTATGGGAACTTAATCAGTTTTATGGTAGGAATGCACTCACTACATCAGCATTTGGAGATTTGGACTGTACCTTACATCCTGTATGGTACTCAGGTATAGTCAGCAAAGAAGTACCTAGCTCATTATTCTCAAGGGTTCGAACTTCAGCCTTCGGTACGGTCAACAATTTAGGATGTTTGAGTTGAGAATCGCTCTAGGTAGTACTATAACCTTTTTCTTCTTGTGCTTGAGATCTTGAGGAATTGAATTAGAAGGATCTTGTGGAAAGACTTTTCAAATCTCAATTTACATATACTAATTCATTGTTCGTGAACTTCAAATTGGTACACTATTATAAATCAAAATTCTGATTTACAATTTTCATGTGAATTTATGATATTACATGTCACAAAAATCATTATTATCTTTACCTGCTTAAACTTGCCTAAATCTTAAGTATTTAAAAGTAATTTCATCGACGTCTTACTTTCGTAAATACCTATATTACCGTATTTCTGTACGGATCTGCCTAAACTGGTTTTTTATACAGTTTATGAGAAATGCCACTATAGGACGATCCATTATAGGAGTAATTTGCACACTGTGCACGAAAGTTTACTGCATATATCGGCTACAAAAGCCAACTACTAGCGCTGCCGACTTGATTAAAAGTAGAAGTGTTCACCATGGCCGAAATCGATTGGAGAGATCATCATCATCATCAGTTTGATGTCCTGCTGATCGTACACACACACACACTCCTACTAACTAATCGGTAAGGCGGCGTATCTACCATCATAAAATAAAGAGTTAGAGTGTTACTCCACCCAATTCAGGGTTTTTGCCTTTCGTTACATAGCCAGGGTTGCTACTGTCAACAATCTCAAAATACAAGAATATCAAAACAAACAGTAAAAACTGATACAAAAACGTCACATGATTCTCAGCCAATTTTTATCCAAGAAATATGACATTCGTCCTTGAGATTCCAAAAATCGTCGCTAGTAGTGAGCAGAGTGAGCCATCCGTGTAGGCTCCCCGCGCGCCGTTTCCCTAATTTGTGGTACCATGCCACTACTCTCTACTTTCCTAAAGTCAACAACTCAACAATTTCAAACAAGTTCATCCTCCTTAAAACTCAGCTTGAAGTTACCAACTTCGGTCAAGTAGGTCAGATTTGCCTTCGCATCTTCTAAGCTCTTAAGAGACAAGGTCAACAAAGTATTATTTAACTGAAGTCTCAAGGGTTGTAATATTATTAAAAGTTAAAATGTTTTGGTGCCGACTTCAACAGCTTAATTTTGTCCATTCCTTCTTTTATTGTGTGGGACATCGAGTCGATAACAACCCTATGAATTTTACTAATTTATAAGACATTTTATCAGGTTTTTACTCACAGTAGGTTATTTTGAGCACCCAATATTTCTACTATTTTGGTGTCAGTTTTTCGACCACATGCAAGGTTACAAGTTGGCCTATGTCACGGTTGTTTATCGACCGCTGTCCAAGTATTCAAAGAAAAAGCAGCTGCAGTAGCAATCGAAATCAATGGCTTAACTTGCCATCCGAAGCACGGAACCATCTTCTTCACGGACTATCAGATGATCCGACATGTGATTTCCTTACCAAACTGGGAAAAATTGTACAGGATGTACCTCTTTATGTAGTCTAAAGGAAAAATCTAGATTCTAGACATTCTAACCTACTACGCGTTCCCGCCCCCAGCCCCTCTTTTTAAAAGTCGGTTATCAAAACGATCACAGAATTCAATAAAATAAGTTACGGAAAATAAACAATGTGACGAAATTGCGTCTAAAATTTGTAATTCAATCGCGTTTGAATTGGAAATTGATTTGGAGCTTAAAATCTTTCCTGAATTTACGAACTTTTGGTCTTGATTACGGTATTTTGGTAAAAGCTTTTCCAAATATTGAATCTAAGTAAGCAAAGCTTTTTTAATTGCGATTTATAAAATCTGCAATCCTAAAACCAAATGTTATAATCACACTAGACGTCCGTTGCTACTTATTTGTAGAGTTGTTCTATGCCTCTGTTTTTACAGAGGCATAGAACGCAAAATGTGCTGCTCATGCTAAAAAGACCTTTTTTAGTAAGGAGGGGAAAATGATATCTCCTTGTATCTGACGCATGCGTTACGGATGCGCTAAAATGTGCAGCAACGAAAGTCAAGTAAGGGAACCGCCAGAAACCACCGGCAATAGCGTATACTTACAATTACATACATATATATATCACGCCCATAGCCATAGTGAGGTAGGCAGCGCATAAACGTCTGTAAAAAAACGGCCATTTACCTGCACGACGTCGGAAAAAAATTTGAGTGTCATTCGTAACAATTTGTATCACCACAGTGACGCGTTGTCCGCCTGTCGGCTAAAATGGCAATACACATCAATTCTCAAATCCCTTAGTCGCTTTCTACGATACCCACGGGAAAGATAATAAGGTTATGCTATTCTAAGCCACCACACGGCGAATATTATATTCTAACAATTCAACAAATCCAAAATTTCGCAACACGGTAATAGATTTAAACCTGCAGAATTCAAACTATTTTCTTCGTTTTAGCCCCACGATCTTTTTCAAAAGTTCCGGCACGAAACTGTAAGTACGCTTGATAGGTACAAACAAACAAGCTGCAGTATTTACGACGTTTTGGAAGTTTTAATCACTATTCTTTACTTGTCGGCTACTTAAGGTGGGTTCTGGTCCGCAACTTTACAGGCAAGATAAATGTTAGTTTTTATACTTTTCGCCGTGCCATCCAGTTTGCTGCAATTTTGGCGCTACACGAAAAGTTGTAAAATTGTACTACTTAAGTTATTTAAAAAGTTTAACAAACACCAAACACGGGTTGGTGAATGAAAATAAGAAAATTTTCTAGCGTCGGTTGGGGCTTGAACCCGAGACCGTGGGGTACCGTCCTACTACTCTACCAGCTGAGCTACCGGCGTCTTGCCGACCCTCATTTAAGAGATTTGACATTCTGTTCCATAGAGAGTTTACAGAAGGTTTTTCTCTACTCTATTTTTAATTATCAAGATTGTCACTTGTTTCATAGCTAGGGTTGCTACTGTCAAATATCTCAAAGCATAAGGAATATTAAAATCTGATACAAGAACGTAATAGGTATGATTCTGAGCTAATTTGAATCCGAGGAATATGACTTCTATAACTCCTTCAGTTCATCTGAGATTTCAGTTCATTCCTGTTCTTGTACCTAGTAAGCATCAAAATGTTGGCTAGTACTGAGTGAGCCACCTGTAAAGGCGCCCCGCGCGTCGTTTCCCTAATTTATGCCTTTTCTTTATTTGTGACGTACCGATTTGCATTCCAAAAATCAAAATATGGGGTCAGAGAATTTACGTTATTCAAATTGTTATCGCTAGAGAACAAAAACTGGAGCCTTGATTCATATACGGAAAACGAAGTAAATTAATGTCTGTATTGACCTTTCCATTCAGTTAATACTCTCCCAGGGAATAATAAAATAACATTCATTTTTACACATATTAAGTATTGAACAATTAAAATGTGTGAAAGAAAATGATTGCGAGTGCTTAGTAAATATATTTTGTTACGTTACACAAACGATTAAAATATTAAAGTTACGTTTATTGGGGAAAGTTGTTCAGTTTCATGGGCTGGTTCACCCACTCAAAAGTTAAATTAATTACACCTATTTTATGACTTTTATGTGAACTGGCAAGGTAAAACTTGGTTGTCATAATCGAAACCTCCGTCACTGACGTGATATTTGACATTGAGTCTTTTGAGTGAAGGACTAGTCTTCTTCTAGGTATTCGTGTGGGACACCGACTCGTCCAACGACCTCCTGCCCTACCTCATGATATTATTCGAAAAAACTTCGTTTATTTTTTATTATTACTTACGGCACAATTCACCTGATGAACACACACAATAGTCACGTTTCTCAATAAAAAGCAAGAAAATATTTTATTTTGATATCGAGATGAAATATTTCTTATTATAAGATATTGTAAAGGTAAAAAAAGAAATATTTTTACAAATATCACACTTTCTTGTACCAAATGGAAATATGATGATGATGATGATCTTTCCGGCCGGTTTCGGCCATGGCGACCACTTCTACTCCTAATCAAGTCGGCGCTGATGCGCTCGTATGTGGCTATTGTAGCCTATTTTGGCAGTAAACTCCCGTGCACAGTGTGGGCACGTGAGTTTGCCATTGATATAATTGTAGTTAATGGCGGCGGGAGGACGGGCCTTCAGTTCATCACGTTTAGCGTCAAGGTCTGCTTTACGCTGCTCCTCGAAGTCGCGGATTCGCCTCTTTACAAGACCGCGCCATTCTGGCCGTTGTGCTGCCAAAACCTCAAATTGAGAGGGTTCGATATTGCATCTTTTCATGTATCTCTTCTGAACATCTTTAAAACGGAGGAGTTGACCGCCATGCTTTCGCTTGCCCTCCTCTAGCTCAGAATAGAAGATGCGCTTCGCCACTCGCTCATCCGCCATCCGGGATACGTGACCGCACCACCGAAGCTGTCGACGCATTAAGTAGGCTTCAATGCCACCAACATTGGCTCGTCTTAGAACTTCGGTGTTTCGCACTCGGTCGGACCATCTGATCTTCATGATGGTGCGAAGGCATTTGAGGTGGAATCGATCCAAAGTGCGTATGTGGTGACGATACACACACCAGGTCTCGGAAGAGTACAGAAGGTTTGGCAGTACAATCGCCATATATACAGATATTTTTGTGGCTAGTTTAAGGTCGTGCGAGCAGAAAACCTTGGAACGCAGCTTCCCAAATGCTGCAGCTGCAGCACTGATTCTGCTATTGATCTCAGCATCAAGGTCACACTTAGCTGTAATAGTGTGTTCATCAGGTGAATACCTGATGAACACACACAATAGTCACGTTTCTCAATAAAAAGCAAGAAAATATTTTATTTTGATATCGAGATGAAATATTTCTTATTATAAGATATTGTAAAGGTAAAAAAAGAAATATTTTTACAAATATCACACTTTCTTGTACCAAATGGAAATATGATGATGATGATGATCTTTCCGGCCGGTTTCGGCCATGGCGACCACTTCTACTCCTAATCAAGTCGGCGCTGATGCGCTCGTATGTGGCTATTGTAGCCTATTTTGGCAGTAAACTCCCGTGCACAGTGTGGGCACGTGAGTTTGCCATTGATATAATTGTAGTTAATGGCGGCGGGAGGACGGGCCTTCAGTTCATCACGTTTAGCGTCAAGGTCTGCTTTACGCTGCTCCTCGAAGTCGCGGATTCGCCTCTTTACAAGACCGCGCCATTCTGGCCGTTGTGCTGCCAAAACCTCAAATTGAGAGGGTTCGATATTGCATCTTTTCATGTATCTCTTCTGAACATCTTTAAAACGGAGGAGTTGACCGCCATGCTTTCGCTTGCCCTCCTCTAGCTCAGAATAGAAGATGCGCTTCGCCACTCGCTCATCCGCCATCCGGGATACGTGACCGCACCACCGAAGCTGTCGACGCATTAAGTAGGCTTCAATGCCACCAACATTGGCTCGTCTTAGAACTTCGGTGTTTCGCACTCGGTCGGACCATCTGATCTTCATGATGGTGCGAAGGCATTTGAGGTGGAATCGATCCAAAGTGCGTATGTGGTGACGATACACACACCAGGTCTCGGAAGAGTACAGAAGGTTTGGCAGTACAATCGCCATATATACAGATATTTTTGTGGCTAGTTTAAGGTCGTGCGAGCAGAAAACCTTGGAACGCAGCTTCCCAAATGCTGCAGCTGCAGCACTGATTCTGCTATTGATCTCAGCATCAAGGTCACACTTAGCTGTAATAGTGTTCCCCAGATATCGGAACTTGTCAACCTGTTTCAACATATTTCGTCGTGCGCCTTCGTTAAAGACGGACGTGTTACTTGTTTCGAATAACTTTATTCAGTAAATTTTAAATCCGCTGCACGCGAGTTTCACCCCTGTTTAAGTTGCACTAAGCTCCAATTGCACAATCGATCTTTAGTGGCTCCTGTGACCTTCTTAACGCAGTGACACCGAACCGGACCTCAGCGGAACGAGACAACTGCTAGTCAGCCTGTCTTACTCGCACACCAGCCAGCGCTTCTCAATCTTCTTTTCAAGATGTCGCTAACCTGCCCGAGTTGTGATCAGACTGTCTCCGACGGAGTAAAATGCTCTGCTTGTGAGGAAACACTTTGTTTCGGTTGTACCGAATTCACAGAAGCGTCATTTCGAAGGGTTACAGCTCCCAACAAGAAAAAATGGAAATGTCAAAACTGTGTGCGCTCTAATGAGGACCAAACCAAGGAAGGGCCCAACAATGATAAAGCACCTGTGGATGAGGTTAAACAGATCCTTCTAATCGTCAAGGAAACACAAAAGGATTGCAAGTCATTGAAAAAAGACATGAAAGGCCTGAGGGCTGATATTGCGGAGAACACTAAAGCAATCACGTTTTGCCAAGAGGAGATCAAGAGTATTAATGACAGGATCGGCGGTTTGGAGTTGAAGGTTCAGAAAGTAGATTCTCATGACAAAGAGATTGAGGCACTAAAGAATGAAATCAAATTGCTTAAGAGAGATTCGGCAGAACACGATCAAAGAGCACGTTTGTGCAATGTTGAAATACGTAACATCCCGCAATCCAAATCTGAAAACCTGCTCACGATCATCCAGAAGATCTCGGCAGCAATTGAATTCAACTGGCACAACGATGACATTGAATTTATATCCAGGATTGCACCTAGAAACCCGAAAGAAGGCAAGATTAGACCTATAGTTCTGAAGTTTCTAAAGAAATCAAGGAAGGATGCTTTTTTGTCCCAATTCAAGAGATTCAAGGGGATCACTACCGATGCAGTTGGACTTCCAGGGGATTCCCACAAGATATTTGCGTCAGATCATCTCACATTGGCCAACAAGGGATTATTACGCAAAGTCAAAGATGCCGTAAAGGGAGGAGGCTTCGTATGGACCGTCGATTGCAAGATTCTGGTGCGAAAATCCGAAAACGCCCCAATCATCCGTATTCAACAGGAAGAGGATTTGAAAAAACTAGGGTGAAATTTTTCCTAATGTTTCCCATAAACATTTATTTACTTTTTCTTGTAATTATTATACCTCAAGATCAGTATCTTACTATTTTACTTACGAAAAGTTTGAGAACCATATGCATTTCTAACATTCATTTGTTTGGTGCAAATCAGAGCAGCAGTTGTTTACTGTATGCTATAATGACGGGTAGGCAGATGACATATTTAACAATCGTAATTGCTGCCCAATACAATTATGAATTGCGGATTCTAGCCCTTGTGTACTACCTATTAAGATCCTTGATGATTACTGCATTGAAAACTCCAACTTCCTTTATTTTTGTTGAACCGCTTTTCGTATCGAATGATTATTTTGTTTCGAAATGACTAATTTAAGAGTATTTTATCAAAACGTACGAGGATTACGTACAAAAACACAGGCATTTTATAAGAATGTGCTTAGTAATGATTATGATTTGGTCGTTCTTACAGAAACGTGGCTGAATAGTTCCTTTTTTGACACAGAGATATTTGATTCGAGATATTCAATTTTTAGACGCGATCGTAATTATGATGTAACGGGACAAACATTTGGGGGTGGTGTTTTGATTGCGGTCAAAACTGAGTTATGTGTTGTTGAACAATTATCCTGGCGTACTTCCGCGGAGGATCTGTGGGTGAGTATTAAATTAGGTTCATCTTCGAAACATGACTACCTACACATATCTTGCGTGTATATACCGGGGGACAGTAACTTTGAAACTCAGATTAAAACCTACTTTGAAAATGTATGCACAATATGTACCACTAAATCCAGTGATTTGTTTCTTATATTGGGAGATTTCAACTTAGAAACCATCCAATGGAATAAACAATTAAATAGTGACTTTTTATTGCCGTCGGCGT